ATTAAAAATTGAAAAAAAAAATCACCGATACTTAAAAGTTCTTTATATCCCAAAATAATTAAAGGAAGATCGTTACGAATAAGAACAGTTCGTAATTTACGAATTTTTTCAAAAAAAAAAAAAAAAAAAGAAAAAAATTGTAAAATTAAAAATTGAAAAAAATAATCACCGATACTTAAAAGTTACTTATATCCCAAAATAATTAAAGGAAGAACAGTTCATAATTTACGAATTTTTTCAAAAAAAAAATTGTGAAATTAAAAATTGAAAAAATAATCACCGATACTTAAAAGTTATTTTAGTATTTATCCCAAAATAATTAAAGAAAGATCGTTACGAAGAAAAAGAGTTCATAATTTACGAATTTTTTCAAAAAAAAAATTGTGAAATTAAAAATTGAAAAAAATAATCACCGATACTTAAAAGTTATTTATATCCTAAATTAGATATTTTTATTATCATGCTTTTGCGAATTTAATTAACATTTTCCCGTCCAAGATCCATTGTATCCGTTTTTCTTGAATTGTGTATAACGATAACGCGACGAGATCGTTGCACTTCTTAATTAAATACATGCATAAAGAGACTATAGTTTTTCGCGATACGATGAATTTTTGAGCACTTCCTCTTTGCGCTAGCTTCCGCTATTTTTAACGCGATTGAACGGACATCCATTCTCAGAAACATAATCAAATTCCGTTGTCAATCAACGAGACAACGCTCCACGGTGATGGGTCACGTGTCTCCGGCTAACGTTCCAATTATACACGCGTATCCATACATTTTTTATCATCCTCCTGTTGAAATAGCAAATGGAAAATGGTATTGTTTAATGTTTCATAAGGAATAACCATAATACCCCACGCTTTTTTTTTTTTCTCAATATCCTCTTCCAAAAATTCCTCCCCCCCTCCCCCTACATTGATCCCACGACGAGTTTGGAAAAACGAAGAAATTTATATTTTGAATTTTATATAATTTTTCAGAATAAAATTCTAAAAATGTCGAATAATCCGGTAAATTGGATAACCAATTCGGATTAATGCAATGTTTGAATCATATTTTATTCCGATGAGCTGTGAATCTATTTCAAATCGATCGCATCACAGAGAACATTATATATATATATATATCTCACAATAATATTTCTCCGTCAAATATTTTAAATATTGTAAAAATACACTTGGTTGGATTATTAGAATAATTGTGAAAACGGTGAAAAATGTAGGGACTACTCTAGAGCGAAGTAGCCGAGATAAGTCCAGGCACAATGGCTTCCCGAGTACTTGGCTGCGTGGGCGTGACCGCGGCGATCATATACTCCGCGAGCTTTTTACATAAAGCCACGTGCGCGCATATAAGCCGTTCTAAAAATAGAAATTTGAGCAAGATTCTATTAATAACGGATGAGTGTGTTCCCACAACCGAATCGCGTGTGTGCGCGCCACCAACGGGCTCTACCCGTTGCTCGGGGTAACGAGCAGCTTTTCGAAAAGAAA